CGAAGAACCAATGATAAATGGGGTTTTATATATTGTGAGGTGTACTAGCGACTAACATGCTCTTGGTATCGCCGAGCGGCGGCGAGTAAGCTCCAACCTCAACTTATCGGTCCCATCGCTTGGGCCAGAGAAAGATCCTTTTGCTCAAAACTGTCAGTGCTAAGGCAGGGCTACCCGTGCACCTGTCCCGCGTAGGTGCGTTAGAAATTCAAGATGCATCAGCTGCGTGCGGGCTTGAACCTGCACGTAGTGCCGGTACACCGTCCAAGTAATCACGTGCGTGTTTGCCCAATGCTGGGCCCCAGGTTGGGCGCTCAAGTTCTTGTGGCATAGGCAACACTGCTTTTTTGCGGCCCTCTATGCCTGGGTCAAAGCTTTCGGAATATGAATAAAGTATTACTATTATTATACGCAAAAATGCAGCTGCTGTATAGTGACTGCATCGCGGTTGTGGATACTCCCAAAAGGCATCCGAGGCTTGAGCAGTGTTTGGGTGACACAATTGGATTAACAAAAGAGACAAAGTGTGTGTAGCCACACCAGTGCCCACACAGCATTACAGAGATGTTGACATATGCACTAATTCATGTTTTCAACTTTGGGAAACAGGTGCTGCTGCAAATTCTGCTGTGGCAGCATGCCCACACCAGTGGAAAGTGTGTGCTGCAAAGAGCAGAACAAGGTCAAAGAGAAGGCTGGGAGCCTTCCCTGCATCACAATACATAGGCTCATTGAGCTATACTGTCTGAACCGGATGTCCTGGACCGCGAGCACAGGAAGCTGAGGGTTTGCCGGCCTCTCAGCACGAGAAACATCAAGCAGATAAATGCGTATGTACAGTAAAACTAAATCACTATACAGTCGCCAACCGTTTTTTTGGACTCCAATGATTTGGACTTGTTTTATATTTCGGACCTAAAGGCGGAACCGTGACTTACCCCATAGAAATAGTGTATATTCACGACCAATGTTTCAGACAGCTTCAAGTCCAAAAGTTTGATTATTCGGACAAAATCATCGCGAGCGATCAGCGTAAAACACCATCGAGAAGAGGCCATTTCGAATTCTATGTTGGCTGCCAATGGATTGGCTTGGTTTGCCAGCGCTACTTGAGCACTCCTGAGTCCTACCGCTAGGCGACGCTATGCTAGCCCTTTCTTTCCCATTTAGCTGCACGTCATCATCATCATTATTATCATTTTGCTTTGTTTTTCATTCCTTCGCGTCGCCAGTCGCCATTTTGCGCTCGTGGATTTGCGCTGGCTTGGACGTCATGGCCCCATTTGTTCTTCTGCTACTCGACCATAACGCTAGAAATGAAGGCAGCGATTCTCAAGCTAACAGAAAGTTGTCGAACGGAAACGGAGGCGCAACTTAAAACAAGGCACGCAGGCGTAACCTGAAACAAGGCACTATTTACGGCTTTTTAAAGCCCACTTGGAAGTAATAAAGGCGAGTTTTTCAGTCTGCTGATTTTTCGGACTGGTCTATTATTCGGACGTTTTTTCGGTCCCAGCGAAGTTCGAATAACCGGTCGCCGACTGTACCTTTTTACTATGAAATTCACCACTTTGTAAATAAAGTGAGGATGTAAAGCGAGATGTGCATTAGATGAACCGGAAAAGGCAGTGCCTCAATGTTGGCAATTGAAGTTTCCGACACAGGCAGGTTTTTATTGGTGGCCTGAAAAACATACCCAAAATTTAGAAGCAAACCATCCATTACATGCTTGCACGCTCGCATATGCATGTTCTAATGAAACTACAGCATGTGGCGTTTTGCTGCTGGCCATCGAACTAGTTCCAAGTGGATACCTGGCAGTGTAACTAAATAACTTCATTATGTTATCACTGCAGTAAGCACAGGTACACGGCGTACTGCCAATTCTTTTGGTGGGTGCACGGAAGGCTGGGAAAGGAGAACCGGGTAACCTTGCCCAGCTGCGTGGTGACCAGGCTGCACAAACAGTTCCCCGCCCCGAACCCTGCACACTACACGGGCTTCAAGCAGTCATAATGCTGAGTAAGTTGGCATGCTATCCACCTTCAAATCTCTTAAATATGTATCTTTTCCTACCAAGCACTTGGGAGCAACAGTCGCTCCAACCTATTGTTGGCGCTGTACAAGTAATGAGGCCCAAAATATCTTTAAACCTTAAGATGTTTTGTCTGCCATGGCAATGAGCATGATCTAGCATGAGAATGCTCGCACTCACTGCCAGAACAAATAGTCCAATTAAATTTTGGGCTTCATTTGTCAAGCTCCCTCCACAAATCAGTGAATTGCTTTTTCCGGTGTTTTGCAAAAAAAAAAAAGGAAAGATGTAGCTTTCAGGAGCAGTACGTAATTAACGTTCGAATAAAGAGATCAATATTTGACATACAACAAAGTCACTGTTTATTGCAAACTAACCAATTTTTTACTTTAAACGATCAGAGACCGAAGACGAGGAAATGGGCCAGAGACATTTTGAAAAGGGGCTCATGGCAAGGAGCTGGTGGCCGGGGAGCGCGGGGCCCGGGGCTCGTGCTCGGAACTGATCAGATTGACACGTCAGATCGAACTGCTTTGTTGCTTGCGCATAGTGTAAATAAATGTTTGCTTCAACGTAACTAACGATGACTACCAGAAGTTCCTGCATTTAATGCTGAAACCCGAGACGTAACGAGTCAACAAAGGAAATCTGGTAGACCGAAGCAATACGAACGACAGAAGCAAGCAACATTCCATCGAGACAAGACTGAAAGATCATGGACATCCTCAAGAAGAAACGGAAGACCCTGCAAACGCAAGTAACGAAACTCCTCAGCGAGGCAAAAGAATTATTTCAGCTGACTCCGGCAGCCATTGATGATTTAGAGATTTTGATCGAGCGCATAAGCCTCTCTCGGGATCAACTCAGCCACGTAGATGCCACGATTGAGCTATTGAAACTAATAAGTCGTTGTAGCTGCAATATCGGGCGCAATAGTCAGCAACGAATGGTGCAGGAGGCTTTCGCTTTGCCTTACCTCACTTAAATCGCAAAGCATGAGCAATGACCTCGACGCATTCTTTAGATAGTCTTTCCATTCTGGCCATTCCTAAGCCTACATGAACGCGATAATTGTCGGCATGGCAACGTCTTTGGAAAGCGGATTGCCTTGACTCAATCGGCCGGGTATTGATAGCACACAAAAGCAGACAGCGTCCCAATAGACCTTTCTCTTAATTACCCAAGCATCGAGGAGAACACTGAAAGTGTAATTCTATGGTCCACAAGCGCTGGCCTTCCTCTTATAAAAGATTCGAAGTAGATAATCATAAGGCTTTGACAAGCGTGCGTGCAAGGCAAAATCTGTTTTAGACTTTTTGCTTTAGAACAATTACTACTGCAGACGCCAGCACGTCTGCCCACATCTCATTGCGCAATGTGTGGCACTGCTAGTGGCCGGACCTGTTTGTAAACATGAGTTGGTGTATACTTCACAGCATCACTTGGTATGAAACACTAACATGACAACACTGTTAATATGCTGTGGTCTACTTGCCCTCAGGAAGCTGCTTTTTCTTCCCCAGGTCTCCGTGCTGGCACCTTGGATACAGGGGGTTGGCATGTTCGTGCAAGTCAGCCACGTGTCCCACCAGGGAAGTCCACTTTGGAAGGATCTCCTCCGGCGCTCCATTGCTCGATTCCGCACACCAATAAAGGTGCTTGACGATTGCCTCCACCCAGTCTTGGAGTCCCACAAGGGACTTGAGTTTTCCAGCTGAGACCAAGCGTTTCTTGATGCCTGAAAAATGAAGCATTGCATTCATTCTGCTAAGCACCAAGCTTAGATTGCCAGAAACCACAGCTTGACAAAATAAAGAGTTCATAATTATGAACACCAAAAACAAGAAAAACCCAATTCTGCCCCATTTTCTCAAGTGTAAAAAAAAACATGGCGATATCTCACTCTAGGACACTTTCCTGTATTAAAGGCTTTTAGACGCTTCCGTCAAGTGTAAAGATTGTGCCCGCTGTCTTCCATGCTGAGAAAATAGTTAAGGGACGGAAGAAACATCAAAATCCAAGCATTTTGGGCTCCGGCAACATGCGTGCGCACGGCCTGGCAAGCGAGATTGTTTCTAAGCGCTCTGGGGACGCCACCTCGCTTCACCTCGCCCAACCTTGCCAACCGCGACCGGACCCTGAGGCCGAAAGGCTCTGGCGCAGCCAGGAACGGCATTGAGGTTGCAGCTCCTCCTTCTGTGCTACCATGCAGTGCTCAGAGTTATCGGCGTCGTTTGTCCTTGCACTGAAGCCTCTAGGGCCTCCTTCGGACGCGAGGGTCCTATTTCACAAGGCTTGGACAAGGGCCGCCCTCACCAAGCAGCTTCGCAACCTTCCGCTCACTTAGTTTGACAATAAAAGCTTGCGGTTCTTCTCTTAAAAAATTGCGGGTGACCCCACGGGACTGCTCTCCGCCGCCACCGAGGATCACTATGTTCTCAGTTGTGCACTCGCTCCCACAGTGGGTGCCTTCCCATAATCCTCCCCGATCCAAATTGCAATGCAACCTCCATTTACATGGTTTGAATAAATGCCCATTCGCCCTCTCAATCCACCTCTGTCTAGGGACTTGAATGCGATGCGCTCCCCTAGAGTATTATTTTGTTTGCATGACCGCATTGAATGCGACAACTGGATTCAAATCGACTAAGTCGCATTCATGTAAACGCAACTTATGTTTCAGCTTATATTGTACCGCAGCGAAAACTAGAAGCGCAAGCTCATGGCCTTGGCAGCTGCTTCTGCTGCACGAGAGCTTGTGCCGCCGAGCAGTTGCCACAGAGCAAGGAGCTCATGCTTGTAGCCTTTCCTGCAGTACAACATGCGCAGAAACAAACTATGGTGACAGGCAAGGGTAAGAGCGTTCCGCAATTAAATATTTTGTTTTTGCATAACCTGGAACCCCGATTACTTATGGCTCACCTTTTGCAACGTGCCGGCAGTCGAACATGTGCCCAATCTGGGGGTACCACTTGGCAAGGAATGACTTGATCATGGAGTGGCGATCAGTGATGATTCCTCCCACAGTCAATCCATTGGCTTCACAAATCACTAGAGTCCTTTTCAGGCCCTTGAGCTCCATTGCCCAGCTGCCCTTTGTTTCGTTGGACTGAAGCGACAAATAGAACATTGCATTATCACACCAAACAGACCTGTTGAATGAGACAATGCATGTCTGAAAAATGTTGTTTTCGCCATTCATTTTCACTTAATTACAGAAAGGTTTCATTTCAGTGGAACAGAAGCATCAGAACATTTATAGCAGGGGAATTTACCTGCACTGTTTCCACATGGAGAACCTTGTTCGTTGACACGTCAACAACGGTGTACGTTCCATATTTCGCTGAGTGCCCGGGGGAGTCTGACCGCCCATCACCAGCGAGGACCAGTTCTCGTCCACTTGCTTGCTCAAAGAGCTCGTTTTGTTTCCTGTTCCACACCTGGAAGTCTATTTGCAAAGACTTTTCTAAACAAACATAAATCCTGGACATGTTTTTCATTTCACCTATAAGTATACTGCAAGCTTCTTTCGTTTATGTGAACTCCCATGGAAGTTGAGCATTTAAGTTTCAATCCCAGCTAATGCGATCAAAGCATTGATTTGTCTTTATATTCAAAATGAGGGGATGAAATGCTCCATGTCGTGGGTATAAATACTGAAGGCACATATGCACATTTAGGTAGATTGGCAAAACACTTTGTTTTTTTTATTATCCATGCATGGGAAAGTTGATGAATAGCTTTTGACACTTTCCGCATTGAAACTCAAGCAGCATAGTGTTGGACTTACTTAGGTCGCATAGACCCCTGCCTGTTCAGGTCTTGTTCCCCTCGCAGCATTCAACAAGCACAGTTTGGCTGCCGAGAAGCTGCCTTCTCAAGAGCGACCTTGAAGAAATGCCACTCGGTATAAAAATAGAGTACTGGCCAATTAATCTTTACAATCGAACTGGGGAACATCTATTGTTGCTTCTTTTACTTATTCCCCACATCAAAATCTGTCCTTTACGCTGCCCACTTCTCCAGTAGGTGCAGTCAGTCACAAAGCAGGAGAATAAGAACTGAAAACATTGCCTCCCCGTTCAGAAACCAAGGAGGCGACGGTTTCCCCACATGGAATGCGGCGAGTCTTCGAAGTATGTGCCCTGTATTACTTTGCACACACAGTTGGTACCTTTCCACCCTCGGAGTGTGGTCAAAATAGGTGCAGAGGACACATCTCAACTCTCCCTATTTACGATATTTTCCGGCATGTAAATTGTTTCTTTCCTCAAATTTCTCTCAGTGCATCTTACACAAAGGTGCGACTTACTTTTTTTTACAAGTATAAACCATAGCTGTGCAAGGCCGTATCAACAGTTACAACAGAGGGAAATCGGCAGAGCCCGTAGTTTGTATTGCATCGCACAGACCTAGATCCATTAGATGTAGCCTTCGGGTACTGCGGCTTTTCCTTACAATCGGAACCTTGGCAATATGCCGGCTTCCAGCAAAGCTTCCAGCCGGCCACATCAGAACACCTTTCCCACGGTAGTTCGCAAGAACATTGAAGCTAACTCTTACTTGTGCTTATATTACAATATACATATGACAGCTCATCGATGCAGCTTTGCCTTGCGGTTCGTATAAAGATGTGCCACCTATAGACGTTTGCAAGTCCCCGGCCTCGGGGCGCTGCCACCTTGCTCAGTTGGGGTGCACTTGGGTACGCCAAATTGGATTATGATGCCTCACTAAGGTGTCGTAACCAGACTATGGCCACGCCCAAGCATACCCCAGCTCGGCAAGATGGTGGCACCCTGGGGCCGTACTTGCAAACATGTATATATCAACCTTTTTGTAAAAACAGCCGTTTATAGGAGTGTGTGACTTGTAGACAGAAACATATGGTGCTTCAAAGGATGTACTGCACCATTCAGGATCCCATAAGAGTGCTGAGCCTGAAATATTGGCACCTAAAATAAACCCCTTTCACAGGTACGGAAAAGCTTGAAACGTGCCATACCTGTCTGATTGCTGGTAGAAGGAAGGCACCCTGAATCTTGAAGTATGTCTCGTACGAGAAACAGGGCACGCCCATCTGGCGGAGGAGCCTCAGCACTTTTTTGACGATGCTCCCAGAGAAGAGTGTTGCTGCAGCTAGGAGCACATTGCCTAGGGCCCTCCTATTCACTGGTGGTTGGCTGGTCCAGGTGTGTTGGTGGCCATTGTTGCACATTCTGTGCACCCGGAGACACGTCCCTTTGAGCTTCTTCTCTGTGATGCGGCACAGTGCAGTGTACTCAGGTCAATTACCCAGTAGCTCGTCCAAACAAGACTCGAAAACAACAAACTTTCGTTCCGAGACGTAGTCGATGCTTTTGCTGCTCTCATGCTGACTGAGTGCGCTGTCACATGCGGTGTTCTGTTGTGCATCCCTGAAATAAAAAAAAGAAAAAAGAAGCAACCTCTTACACACCCCCTCATACTCTTTACTAAAGATGACATATATCCGACTGATACCAACCTCAGAAAGCCGGTGCCGGACATCATCATGAGAAAGCTAGCGTCAGAGGGGAGCTCATTGTCTATTGTTGGCAGCTGTGGTGGGTCTGGTGGTAGAGCTGGTTGTCTGGGCTCTGGCGGCTGTGGCGACAGCGTCAGCCCTTCAGGCAACATCCAACCCAATGGAGCCTGGGGGACATGATTTGGTGAGGAGCATTGTGGTGTCACGAGGACAGGACTTGTTTGGGACTGTCGTGATGAAGTCTTCATGGTGACTTGTATGCCTGTGCCATCATAACGTGTTACAACGATCTAAACAATGCTGCCTTCTGAGAAATTTATTTTTGCAGATACGTACATTGATTTCTGTAGATGCCCGAGGTCTGCGTAGCAGCGGTTCGAAGGTCAGGAGCCTGTTTGGCATTACTGATGGAGAGGGCTGATCACAGCAGAGGAAATAAAGTGTGTTTCAAAACAAAATCACCCTTGGCTCATGCAGTCAGCAATACAGTGAAACCCGTTTATAACGAACAGCAGGAAACACTACGATCAGTTCGATATAGCAAGTAGTTCGATATAGCAAAAACCCACTTACAAAACCGAGCTACGACTTTCCCGGCGATTAAATATGGATCTTTAAATCGCTGCAGCCACCCAGATCCAGCGGTGAAGCCCTCAACGTTCAGGAGGGGTGCAAAATCTCTTGCCTTGCTTTGCAACATTGGTCCGGAGACCAGCAGGTTCCGCGCACAAATGTCCAAAAACCATTGGTACAGCGCTTTTTCCACCTTGCCGTACGCCGGCTTGCGGATGCGCCTGCTGTCCGCATTTAGCCGTTCACGGGCCTTGTCTCGGATGGCAGACTTGTTTTTAAGAATTGTACTCAGCATACTTCTGGGGATCTTGTAGGCAGCGGCAACGTCTGATTTCTTTTCGCCGTGCTCCACACAACTGATGATGTCGACCTTGTCGGAAAGTGGCAGAGCCTGCCGCTGCTTCGTCGTCATTTCGGGCGCGAACTAGCTGGCCCGTACAGTGAACAGAAAGTGCATTGGGGACAAGAAAGACGACAACAAACAACGACTAAATTAACGAGAAGAAAGGAGGGAGGGGGAGAGAGAGAGAGCTTTGCCTGTGGTTGACGCTTTCAACGGCATGTGACAATGCTATGGAATCTGAAATGCGATAGGCTTATTGCTTCTTGGGGCGTGGTGTGTCAAGCCCCAAGTGAATGCGCAAGGTGAGGAGGGTCAAACTAGAGTTCCTTCAAGTTCTCTTCGGCGGGACATGAAGGCCCCCTAGGTCAAACTAAAGTGACTTTAGGTGAAACAAGGCGCGAAGGGAGAGGAGGCGAGAACTTCTTTTTCTTTCTCGTCTCTTCGCTTCCGCCTTTTAACAACGCGCTAGAAAGTTTTTTTTTTAGCTTACCTACGTTTTTTAATTGCTTTTCTTCGTAAGCAACCGCTTCGCACTTAAAAGATTTCTTTTTTTTTTCTGTGCCCTTCGGAATCGCTTTTCTTCGCTTATTTTTGTTTGCAGCTCGAGCTTTTGGAATTTTTTTTCTTTCCTTCACTTTTTCGGGCGAAGGCATTGGCTGAAAGACGATCGTTTGCGCGTTTTTGGAAGCCTTCCCAGGGGGAAAAAGTTCGATATAGTCAATCTGTTGTCCGTTACAAAAAGTACTTTTCACATACATTTTGATTTAAATTTTTCGTGAGTTCGATATCGACAATAATTCGCTGTATGTGGGTTCGTTCTAAACGAGTTTCACTGTAGACTATAGATTACCCTAATTTGGCAGAATTAACTACTAAAATATGTAAGCTGAGTGGTTTCAATCGGCGCACATACCTGAGCTCGAAAAAGGTTTTTCGATGCCAGCACTTGCATCGTGCATTGGTTCATGTCCAGAGTCAGGACCTTGCTCTGTGTCGTCAGCAGAAGGGGTTGACGATGTGCTGACCTCTTCAGCGATGAGTGTGGCCGTTGCTTTTGCCGGTGCCTTCATTAATTCGTCAATTATTTATAAATAATAGGCATAAAAACTTACAACATGCAAAACAAACATGCACTGTCAATATGCTGCTAACACCCAGGTTTGGCTCAAATGAGGGTGACTGGCCCGAGCCCTTATCTTTGTTAGGCTCATGTCACTCTGTGTACCCTCCTCATCTGGACTTTACTTGAACTGGTAAGCAAATTGCACCGTCAAGTGCACAATCATGAACACTAAGATGGAACGGTCGAATGACGACCAAAGTTAATTAGTGGCCTCGAGCCGAGAAATTGAACAAGCACTTATAATAGCCTCATGATTGGGGTGCAACTGTCATAAATGGCCAGCTGGTGCTCCCAGTGAACTTTATAAATAAACACCATATTCCACGAGATTAAAACAAAGTAACTCAGCAAAAGATGTCACAGTGTTTATTTTTGTTATAAATTGGCACACATTTAGCAGCATCTATTTTTGGCACAAGAATCAATTTTTGCTGCAATTTAATTTCCTACACCACCAGGTTTGTAGGCCTTCTCGGCACTTGTCGTCTTGAAGCATTATTGCGAGCATGTATTCAATGCATGGGAAGAACATAGAGGAAACAAGATCTTATAGACCGACACACTGTTTCCCAACAAGCCTGCATTCGGCCACACCAGGGACTGCGCAGAAACCCAATTCAAGTGTCTGCGCCTGCACAGTGCCGTTAACAGCGCCACCGCAGCTGCGTGACATCAGGGCCGCCTGTTGGTCTACAGTCGAACCTCGTTATATCCAACAGTGCGAGAACCGCCAAATAATTCAATATAACCAAAATTCTATATACAAAATCACACCAAAAACGCGTCAAAGTGCATCGCGATTCAATCACTAACAAGCTTGCGGCAAGAACGACTACTCACGTGAAGCTTTAAGATTAACTACCGTATTTACTCGCACAATGAACGCACTCGCGTAATGAACGCACCCCCCAAGTCGGCTCTCAAAATTTCGACTTTTTTTTTCACTCGCGTAATAAACGCACCCCCAACTCGGACGTCAAAATTTTGAACCCCCCCCCCCCCCACGCGCGCGAAATGAACGCACTTTTTTATCCTGGTGCAGCGAGGTCGCGAATGCATGGGCAGCGTGGGCGAACAAAACGCCTTGCAAAAGGCGTTAAAAAAATTCGCAAAGATCCAACGGAAGCAAAAAAGTAAAACATGGAGAGGAGCTTTTTTTTTTTTTTTTTTCCACAGCGCTGTTTGGATTTTGGGTTCGTGCGCCGCCGCGCGACAGGAGGTAAGAAAGACAAGCGGAGAAGCGCTCTAAGCGAACAAAACAACTTGCGAAATGCGGCAAAAAGAAAACACGGAACTAAGAGAAAACAAAACCAGAGGAACGTTTCCTTTTTTTTTTTTTTTTTTTTGGCACAGCGCAGTTTGGTTACGGGGGGTCGCGCGCCGCGCGCAATGAGGTAAGAAAGAGGAGCGGAGAAGCCCTCTAAGCAAACGAAACAGATTGCGAAAGGCGGCAAAAAGAAAAAAAAAACAAAAAAAAAAACACGGAACTGAGAAAAAATAAAAAAAAAGGTTTTTTTTCTTCTTTTTTCCACAGCGCAGTTTGGTTACGGGGGTCGTGCGTCGCGCGCCGCGAGCAAGGAGATAAGAAAGATAAGCGGAGAGCCCTCGCCTAAGCAAACAAAACAGCTTGCGAAAGGCGGACAAAAAAAAAAAAACCCAAGGAACTAAGAGAAAAAGAAAACAAAGAGGATTTCTTTTTTGCACAGCTTAGGTTACGGGTCGGGCGCCGCGCGCAAAGATATAAGAAGTTCGATTTTTCAGGATAAAAGGTCCGTTCATTATGCGAGTAAATACAGACACAAAACTTTTACTTCGCATAATGAACGCACCCCCCAACTTTGCGTCGATTTTTCGGAAAAAAAAGTGCGTTCATTCTGCGAGTAAATACGGTATTTATTTCGGCGAAGAAAACTGCCGCAGCGTAGATTGCTTCTTGGAGTAGACCGCATGCCTTACTATGACCCGCTCCATGGTCTCCAAGTCCACAAGCACCTTACCACTACCGTTGGAATTGCGCTTCAGTAGCGGCGTAAAAGCATCAAAGCAGCCACAGTTTCACCCCAAGTCGGCCAAGTTTTGTGCTTGGTGGATGAACGCAAAGTCTTTTGCTTTCTGTTGAAGCATCGGCCCCGATATCGGAATGTTCCGAGCCCTTGTGTCCATGAACCACTCGTAAAGTAATCTTTCCACCTTTTCGAAAACCGGTGTCCGAACACGGTGTACGCCGGAGTGCTTGCTTCGTTCAGCCTTCGATTTGATGTCACTGTTTGTCTTCAGCAGCATGCTCAAATTTCTTCGCGGTATGTTGTACACTTCGGCAACGCTGGACTTCTTTTCTCCGTTTTCGACGTGGCAGATGATTTCAAGCTTCGTCGCAAACGTCAGCGGCGTACGTTTCTTTACGTCTGTTGCCATCAGTGCGCCATATGCGGTTGACGCAACTTCGGAGGAATGAACCCGGAGGAACAAAACTGCGGGATCTATGCACAGCGCATGAAAATAGCGATACTGGCGAAGCATGCTGGCAATACGATTGAGCTGATTGAGCTGACTGAGCGACTGAGCCTGTATGCCGCTGAGTGGCTAAGTCTGGATGGCGCTCCCGGCATCATAGGCATAAAACTTTACGCAGGCATGCGCTTGTAAAAGTCGCAAACGCCTGCTGCGCAACCGCTATCCTCCAATGTGTTGCGGGAAAGCCCGCCGTATCCTTTGATGTTGTGCCGGAAAGCCTGCCGCCTGTCTCCGGAGCGCACGCTTTCCGGCGCTGCGGAGTTCGATATATTAATTTTTAACCGACTGAGTCTGTTATAAAAATTTTAAAATGCATGTAATTCGTATGACAGTTCGACAACGATTCGATATAAGCAATAAATCTATATATCCGTGTTCGATATAATGAGGTTTGACTGTATAACTAAGATATCGTCATAGTGATCAGAAATATAAACGAGGGGCGGAAACATTAATTGCAGGTTTAGGTTATAGTACACGCATATGTACATAACAAGGTTCTCATTAAAAAAAACTACAGCACTCTTTTTCATTTATTTTCCGCAATTGAGAGAAACGGCCTTCCAGGTTAACACTGAACAGATGAAGCGACGGCAGCTTGACCACCTCATCAGGAAGAGAGGACCAGTGAGGGAAACGAGTTTTCCAAAACAGAATGATGTATACACTCACACTTTTCTAAATGGCGTGGCACTCATACTGTGGGTATCCTATTCCGAAATTCAGCAGCATCTCCTTATTCGCCACAATGAGGAATAGCACATGCTCAAGATGCCGCGGAGTTTGCACATCCTGCTCAAGCTCGGAACATACCAGCTGCAAACCAAAAGGAAGTATGTAGATCATCAATTAACCACATTCTCCCAGGAATGGTTCAACACGGTCCTACGTGCCATTTTCAGATAGCCCAAACCAATATTCGATATTTATTTGTTTATGCCAAATTTCTGAAATTAAAATTAGCTGGCATTTATCAGTAGTAATACCGATAAATACCAGCCTTCACAATTGAGCCAAAGGTGCCGGCGCAAGCTCGTAGCTTCAAAGCAAGTTTCTACCACATGAGCCCGTGTACCGAGTGCCATCGCCGCAGCTACTATACTCCGTTTCACCTTATGTTGTACTGCAACGAAGGCTAGAAGCGCGAGCTCACAGCGTAGGCAGCTGCCCTTCTTGCACGAGAGCTTGCGCCGCCGAGATGTGCCCTAAAGCAAGGAGCTCGCGATTTTAGCCTTTCCTGCGGTACATCATAAGGTGGAACAGAGTATAGCTGCAGTCTCGCCATGTACACGGTACCGACAGTGGAGTACCTGCGATTGGCGGCCACCTTACGTACGGATAAGGGCACGAGAGCGAACACGAATGTTGTACACACTTACCCTGCGCGACGCTGTTAGCGAGAACACAATCTCGGCGTTTTTCCGCATTCGACCTCAAAGGCGAGTTAGGTAGTAGGCACGATTCTTTACAGCTCAGGTGAGTGCCGCAAATGAGCACTTCCCACTTTACGTGACAGCAAAACAAAAGCAAAAAAATCAGCGTTCGCTTGCTCGCGCTAGCAGTTTTGCGCTATGTACTACGCTAATTCCACGACCACTCGCATTCGTGCTTTCCACTGGGAAAGAAGCAGAAAAATATTTCAGTAGCTGCGCTCACCTCTTTGCGTCGCCGTTTTTCCACAGCACCGCTGTGCCGCTCTCGCTTGCATTTTCGTGTGAAGAGCGATGGCACCATGCCAGGCTTCAAATAGGCCTGTTTTACAGGCAAGCCCAGACTCTGCAGTAACTTTGGGCTCGTCTTGTAGTCCTCGTCTTCGAAGTGTTCCATGCAAAGACAATCGCCTTTGGTGGGCTTCCATGTTGGCTGGGAAGGACGGGCCGCGCGAATCCACAGCTTGCGCAATGTGGGCTCACTCGGAAACTTGTGCGCAGGCCTGCTGCTGCAACATACGCTGTTTGAGCAGTCTCGTGCAGCGCAGTACCGCGGCATAACTATCGAAGAAACTCGATCCGAATGGATCGAGTTTCTTCGATCCCTCGATCACTCGACGCGGTTCTCCATTAGGACTGCAGCGGGACAAGCCAGGCTGCCAAGGAGCGAGAGGTCTGTGACGTCAGTTCCGCTCGGGCTCCTCCGCAGTGGCGTCAATCGTACCGGCGGCTTTCGGCCGACGGATTGCCCCATCGCGGCTTTTCAATCAAAGAAATATAATAGTCCGATCCCTTGGTATGGTCTTGATTTTTAGGTATAGTAACGTCCGGGGCACCTCGTCCGGGGCTTATATTGAAAACTTCAGATATCGGTTCAGTATCCCTCTAAAGGGGCACTGACACATCAAAATATATTTTTTTTTTATTATCCGAAACGATTGGAAACAATGCGGGAACATTATCCTCAAAATTCGAAATTTGGGAATTCAGTATTTGTGAAGTCAAAAAACAATTTCCAAATGCCGAATTCAAAGTTCCCGCGCGATCCGCGTCGGTGCGTTGACGTCAAATATTGCGGAGTCCTGAGAGTCCACTTTCTTTCACGACTCCCTGCTGTTGCCATGGCGACCCAAAGCGAGGAGGAAAGGAGCAAGCGACGGCGGACCGGTTTTGAGCGGTGTCACCTGTTTTCCGTGGGAGGATACAAATCCAAGAGACGGCACCACCACGGACTCCGATTTTTGGTATTTCAAAAAGAAGGGCCGTAGTGCGTTTGCAATTGCGTTAAAAAACATGTTTTACGATTGCCGTTATTAAATGTTATAGAGATGTTGCCTACAAAGCTTCTAAATTTCATGATTCTTGACGTCACGAATCAAAAGAAGCGAGGAGGTGAGAGGCGGGAGAATCAAACACCAAAAATAAAAAGGCATGCGCGCATGCGCGGGAAATTTTTTTTTTTGCGATGGTATGACTGCAATTTGCATCGTTTTAGACAATAAAAAAAGATACGACCTTTGGGGTGTCAGTGCCCCTTTAAGGGCTTTCTAGAGAGTGTCGGTACTCCATGCGGTACTTTTCATGGTAGTTTTTTTTTCAGGCACTGGATTCGTCACCAGGGTAGTTCTGCAGTCCAGCTGTGAGGATTTCACTGTGGAGAGGTGTTTCGTTCCACTGCCTCTAAGCTGAAGTTAATCTCCTTTGCAGGTCTTCAATCTGGTTTAAGTTGAGAAACTTTTGTTGCAGACAGAAGAGCAGGGAGTCAGATACGATCTCAGATATCTGACTGATTAGCTTATTACTAAGGTTAGGCATCAGCTCTAGCAGCCATGGACTGCTTTTGAGTACAGAATAAGCCGGAGTACTCACCAGTGTCCAGGCACGGGGTCGGCAACTGGCCAGATGTCAAAGGCAGGGCATCAGCGTGGCAGCCTGCAGTTAAAGAACACATGAAGTGTCAGCAGTTTAACAGCCATGAACTGCTTTCGAGTTTCGAATACGGTGAGCAAGTTAGCCAAATTTGGTTTACTGTGCACGTGAAAGGGGGCAAAAAGGAGGGAGAGGAGGTTGACATTTTGCGCTAAGCTCCACCCCGGCACAGTCCAGAAGTGGTTTGAAGTAAGCAACATCTCGGCATCTCTAATGCCGGCCTCGCTGAAGTGGCGTTCATTGTCTCGGTATCGCTCTTTTTGGTCGCGCTGGGAACTTCCCGAATTAAAAGAGCGAGCAATTTTGTGCCGAGTGCCCTCCTCAATCGAAGGCACTAGAAATGTGCTTTGCTTTTGGATGCAGTGCGTGCTTGTACGATTGACAGCATCCCGCTGTAAAAATTCCTGAAGGACGCAGTAAAGTTCGTTGCTTCTCTACTATGGAGGAAGGCCAGCTTCTTTCCACGTAGCTCGGCGATGCTGACCGAAGGATCAAGGAGACGACGTTCAAAGTTGAAGTAGGAAATGTATTTACAGGTCATTACAAATAGTTTACAGCATGGTGCGTGCACAGCACGGAATCTCGTCGTTCGACACTCTCCAGTTACAGTCGAGCTTTCCCCATTCTGATTCGTCTCCCATTTTTGTCTCCTCATGAGACAAACCATGGCAGGTTCAAACAATCACTCTCCCCTCTCCGCCGTCACTTCACCAATCGTGTTTCGATTTAACTTTCCCAACTCCGCCCAAGAAACGCACAATGCCCTCTCCCTTGTCATTTTACCAATCGTGTTTCGATGTCACTTTCCCAAATTCCGCCCAAGTAACGCACAATGTCCTCTCCCTCGGCATGGCAAGGTCACCCACCCGGTTCCAGATGCCTTTAGCCGAACACTGGACGGTCGTCGGCCCTCTCTACCTCCTTTCAGCAGGCACTTCAGAAAGGTCCGCATTTCGGGAACCCGAGGCGCCGGTCCGATTAGTGGCGTCGCCGTAGACGACAATTAACGCACAATGCCCTCTCCCTCGTCATGGCAGGGTCACAAAGTTCCCCCTGGATTTCCCCGATCGCTGGACGGACGAGCGTCGACATTGTATACCTCCTTTTAGCCGGCACCTTTAAGAAGGTCCGCGTTTCGGGGACCCGAGGCGCCGGTCCGATTAGTGGCGTCGCCGTAGACGACAATTAACGCACAATGCCCTCTCCCTCGTCATGGCAGGGTCACAAAGTTCCCCCTGGATTTCCCCGATCGCTGGACGGACGAGCGTCGACATTGTATACCTCCTTTTAGCCGGCACCTTTAAGAAGGTCCGCATTTCGGGAACCCGAGGCGCCGGTCCGATTAGTGGCGTCGCCGTAGACGACAATTAACGCACAATGCCCTCTCCCTCGTCATGGCAGGGTCACAAAGTTCCCCCTGGATTTCCCCGATCGCTGGACGGACGAGCGTCGACATTGTATACCTCCTTTTAGCCGGCACCTTTAAGAAGGTCCGCATTTCGGGAACCCGAGGCGCCGGTCCGATTAGTGGCGTCGCCGTAGACGACAATTAACGCACAATGCCCTCTCCCTCGTCATGGCAGGGTCACAAAGTTCCCCCTGGATTTCCCCGATCGCTGGACGGACGAGCGTCGACATTGTATACCTCCTTTTAGCCGGCACCTTTAAGAAGGTCCGCATTTCGGGAACCCGAGGCGCCGGTCCGATTAGTGGCGTCGCCGTAGACGACAATTAACGCACAATGCCCTCTCCCTCGTCATGGCAGGGTCACAAAGTTCCCCCTGGATTTCCCCGATCGCTGGACGGACGAGCGTCGACATTGTATACCTCCTTTTAGCCGGCACCTTTAAGAAGGTCCGCATTTCGGGAACCCGAGGCGCCGGTCCGATTAGTGGCGTCGCCGTAGACGACAATTAACGCACAATGCCCTCTCCCTCGTCATGGCAGGGTCACAAAGTTCCCCCTGGATTTCCCCGATCGCTGGACGGACGAGCGTCGACATTGTATACCTCCTTTTAGCCGGCACCTTTAAGAAGGTCCGCGTTTCGGGGACCCGAGGCGCCGGTCCGATTAGTGGCGTCGCCGTAGACGACAATTAACGCACAATGCCCTCTCCCTCGTCATGGCAGGGTCACAAAGTTCCCCCTGGATTTCCCCGATCGCTGGACGGACGAGCGTCGACATTGTATACCTCCTTTTAGCCGGCACCTTTAAGAAGGTCCGCATTTCGGGAACCCGAGGCGCCGGTCCGATTAGTGGCGTCGCCGTAGACGACAATTAACGCACAATGCCCTCTCCCTCGTCATGGCAGGGTCACAAAGTTCCCCCTGGATTTCCCCGATCGCTGGACGGACGAGCGTCGACATTGTATACCTCCTTTTAGCCGGCACCTTTAAGAAGGTCCGCGTTTCGGGGACCCGAGGCGCCGGTCCGATTAGTGGCGTCGCCGTAGACGACAATTAACGCACAATGCCCTCTCCCTCGTCATGGCAGGGTCACAAAGTTCCCCCTGGATTTCCCCGATCGCTGGACGGACGAGCGTCGACATTGTATACCTCCTTTTAGCCGGCACCTTTAAGAAGGTCCGCATTTCGGGAACCCGAGGCGCCGGTCCGATTAGTGGCGTCGCCGTAGACGACAATTAACGCACAATGCCCTCTCCCTCGTCATGGCAGGGTCACAAAGTTCCCCCTGGATTTCCCCGATCGCTGGACGGACGAGCGTCGACATTGTATACCTCCTTTTAGCCGGCACCTTTAAGAAGGTCCGCATTTCGGGAACCCGAGGCGCCGGTCCGATTAGTGGCGTCGCCGTAGACGACAATTAACGCACAATGCCCTCTCCCTCGTCATGGCAGGGTCACAAAGTTCCCCCTGGATTTCCCCGATCGCTGGACGGACGAGCGTCGACATTGTATACCTCCTTTTAGCCGGCACCTTTAAGAAGGTCCGCGTTTCGGGAACCCGAGGCGCCGGTCCGATTAGTGGCGTCGCCGTAGACGACAATTAACGCACAATGCCCTCTCCCTCGTCATGGCAGGGTCACAAAGTTCCCCCTGGATTTCCCCCATCGCTGGACGGACGAGCGTCGACATTGTATACCTCCTTTTAGCCGGCACCTTTAAGAAGGTCCGCATTTCGGGAACCCGAGGCGCCGGTCCGATTAGTGGCGTCGCCGTAGACGACAATTAACGCACAATGCCCTCTCCCTCGTCATGGCAGGGTCACAAAGTTCCCCCTGGATTTCCCCGATCGCTGGACGGACGAGCGTCGACATTGTATACCTCCTTTTAGCCGGCACCTTTAAGAAGGTCCGCGTTTCGGGGACCCGAGGCGCCGGTCCGATTAGTGGCGTCGCCGTAGACGACAATTAACGCACAATGCCCTCTCCCTCGTCATGGCAGGGTCACAAAGTTCCCCCTGGATTTCCCCGATCGCTGGACGGACGAGCGTCGACATTGTATACCTCCTTTTAGCCGGCACCTTTAAGAAGGTCCGCATTTCGGGAACCCGAGGCGCCGGTCCGATTAGTGGCGTCGCCGTAGACGACAATTAACGCACAATGCCCTCTCCCTCGTCATGGCAGGGTCACAAAGTTCCCCCTGGATTTCCCCGATCGCTGGACGGACGAGCGTCGACATTGTATACCTCCTTTTAGCCGGCACCTTTAAGAAGGTCCGCGTTTCGGGAACCCGAGGCGCCGGTCCGATTAGTGGCGTCGCCGTAGACGACAATTAACGCACAATGCCCTCTCCCTCGTCATGGCAGGGTCACAAAGTTCCCCCTGGATTTCCCCGATCGCTGGACGGACGAGCGTCGACATTGTATACCTCCTTTTAGCCGGCACCTTTAAGAAGGTCCGCGTTTCGGGGACCCGAGGCGCCGGTCCGATTAGTGGCGTCGCCGTAGACGACAATTAACGCACAATGCCCTCTCCCTCGTCATGGCAGGGTCACAAAGTTCCCCCTGGATTTCCCCGATCGCTGGACGGACGAGCGTCGACATTGTATACCTCCTTTTAGCCGGCACCTTTAAGAAGGTCCGCATTTCGGGAACCCGAGGCGCCGGTCCGATTAGTGGCGTCGCCGTAGACGACAATTAACGCACAATGCCCTCTCCCTCGTCATGGCAGGGTCACAAAGTTCCCCCTGGATTTCCCCGATCGCTGGACGGACGAGCGTCGACATTGTATACCTCCTTTTAGCCGGCACCTTTAAGAAGGTCCGCGTTTCGGGGACCCGAGGCGCCGGTCCGATTAGTGGCGTCGCCGTAGACGACAATTAACGCACAATGCCCTCTCCCTCGTCATGGCAGGGTCACAAAGTTCCCCCTGGATTTCCCCGATCGCTGGACGGACGAGCGTCGACATTGTATACCTCCTTTTAGCCGGCACCTTTAAGAAGGTCCGCGTTTCGGGGACCCGAGGCGCCGGTCCGATTAGTGGCGTCGCCGTAGACGACAATTAACGCACAATGCCCTCTCCCTCGTCATGGCAGGGTCACAAAGTTCCCCCTGGATTTCCCCGATCGCTGGACGGACGAGCGTCGACATTGTATACCTCCTTTTAGCCGGCACCTTTAAGAAGGTCCGCGTTTCGGGGACCCGAGGCGCCGGTCCGATTAGTGGCGTCGCCGTAGACGACAATTAACGCACAATGCCCTCTCCCTCGTCATGGCAGGGTCACAAAGTTCCCCCTGGATTTCCCCGATCGCTGGACGGACGAGCGTCGACATTGTATACCTCCTTTTAGCCGGCACCTTTAAGAAGGTCCGCGTTTCGGGAACCCGAGGCGCCGGTCCGATTAGTGGCGTCGCCGTAGACGACAATTAACGCACAATGCCCTCTCCCTCGTCATGGCAGGGTCACAAAGTTCCCCCTGGATTTCCCCGATCGCTGGACGGACGAGCGTCGACATTGTATACCTCCTTTTAGCCGGCACCTTTAAGAAGGTCCGCGTTTCGGGAACCCGAGGCGCCGGTCCGATTAGTGGCGTCGCCGTAGACG